TATAATCAGTTATTTGTGGGACCCTTATATTTTCCCTACCAAGGTTTTATAAGCATCTCAGTTTTTAGAGGGATGATCAGAGGGAGATGATCAGAAAGAATGCAGTGCTTTTTTTACAAACAACGGTGTAGTCCGACTGGGCCCAGAGCAGCTTGCTGTCAGTAGATGAATGCAACTTGCAAAGTGTACTCATCCAAAGAGCAACACATAGTTGTCCCCCTAAAAAGCACGTTTATCCAATTGAGCGTCAATATGAAATAACATATTAAACCTTCCACATTTTTGTCTCCCGCTTTATAGAAATTTGTTTAACCATTCTTTCATGGACTGCATTGTGAACTGTTTACCTTCGTCTAATCGTCCCTCTACATTTGAGCGATAAGCCTGTCCTCTTAAGCCCGCAGTAATTTTTTTCCGTCTCCGTATTCTAAACATGTCGAAATTCCACTCAATTGACAAAACCGGTATATAAGTTACCCTTAAAACAATCATTTTATCGCACTATCATTCATTCAACTTCTGGTAGGTATTTAAACTGGCTGCGGAAATCAGACCACTATTGCAATTGGAAATCACTCAATAGATACATAAAGGTATAGCGCATGAGCGCAGGTATGTGGATGCACCTGTTTAAGATTAACTTTTGCGGACCAATTAAAGAAGTGCAACGCACAATTAAGATGCCTAAAATATAGATTTGTCACAGATATACTAAAAACTGATATTTTGTCTCAAGGACTGTAATCATTTTTCCTGTAGCAACTGCATGGTCTACTATCAGGGAGCTTTCCTTAAGCAACCGGCAATTTTGGATGCCTTGTTAAGGCACCACCAATTAACAGTATGGTTTATCAAAATGACGAAAGCGGACTTCGAGGGCGTTCTTAGCTCATTCTATTAAAATGGTCTATATTTTGCAGTGCGCTATTATATCAGAGTGTGGTCATCTCCCGTTTACATTCATACATGTAAAGTTTCCAAGAGGTCGTTATGACTGGTATTTCATTCGCTTTGTAGCCATTTTTAGAGTCATATGCAAAACCCTGGATACTTGCCGCATCTATTTGGTGCACGGTGAAACCCAACTTAATATTATTGGTATTAGTATTATTAGTATTAGTATTATTAGTATTGTTATCAGTAACAACCTATCTCCGAGAAAGCTTATTCTTCACAAAAGATCGAGCATCAAGTTGCATATATGGTCTTGACATTTTAGTGCAAGACCTAAGAACCCCAAAGAGGACACTCTGTCCAGCTTTTACTTACTCACTTCACAGACTTCCCTGATTTCTCGAATAAAAGATGGTGTTGCTTTTTTATCTGAGACTGATAAAGGGTTTTCAATCCGTTTTTAATAACCGAAACACCTAGTCATATTTTCAATGTTTGGTATCACATTCCTGCGCAACAGTAAGCCGACGGGATCAATGGCTCAAGTAAGCCAACTGTCTCTTGGATCACAACACCAACTAAATCGGTTCGACGAATTAAATCGTCTAAACGAGTAAATAACGGCTCACCATTTGCTTTTTAGGCTCACTTGTGTAGCAAGATGGAGGGTGCTAAGTAATCCTTCAGGACTTGTGAACTAAGTAGTCAGATGAATGTTTCAGCACCAGTGTGTCCTTGTTGGACCATTTTCTCAAAATCTGATTGACTGTTCAGATACGCGCGAGCCAATGCATTCGTCTCTGCTAGCCATCCGTATTTTTTGACGTATGAAGATGGTCTGCTCTGAACGGTTCTCTCGAAAAAGAATAGAATGGGTGTTCAATGTTATGTTTTATTGGATGTTTATCCTTAAGCTGCTCAACATAAAACAGCACACGGACTAAGCAGATTTTACGTACTCTCTCTCTATCACACAGGTTGCACACGTTCCCTGCTATACGTTTTGATTACATGCGTGTGAAAACAAGCGTGAAGCTCATCCACGCTATTCAGGAAACTATTCATTTTCAAAGTCATTTGAAAGTTTGGGCGATGGTAAATCAAACTTATTTATAACGAAACTATGGGTTAGAATGTGTAAACAACACTTGTACGAACGAACTGCAGAAGGCGTCTTCAAGCGTACGTATATATTCACAAAAGAAATTCGAGAGTCTAGAAGCACCGAATTTTTCTTAATAGCTGTCGTTGTACCAGCTCTAGAATTTGTATTTACGTCGCAAGTTTAAAAACATAAAAATGGTTGTCCTCGATACACATCAATAAGAACGATGGGTAGACTCGCCCTTTGTTTATATTGGAGATTATTAGTAGCGCATATTATCCACTCATTAGTATTTGGACTGAAGTCCTTTAGCGTGCAAATCAAGCGTTTTTAAATCTCAGGGATAAGTACTGCTGATGAGCTATCGAACAACTACAACTCACACCCGTTCCTCCTGAGTGTTGTTGCAGGAGGAAGACAGCACATGGGCCGCTCCAACGAGAGTTATCCATGGTAATTATGCTGCTGTTACAACTGTCCTCAAGTAGGCAATCGAAAATCTCTTTTGAATTAACAGCAGCTGGCCGAGCAGTTTGAACAAAAAAACTTAGTAGATGAAGCGGCAAACGCTCGTTCCTTCATTTTAGTCTTCGGAAAAGCCCATTGTTTCGCCTAGAGTATGAACACATGGCGATAACAACGCATTTACCTACTCTCACAGAGTGATAGTATCACATGCAAAGAACATTTGATCATCTGAGCTCAGATTTTGGTAACATCAAGAACATGCAACACAAATAATCAATGGTAAGAGCGAACTTTAAGGAACGTGCTTGATTTCCGTGTTGGTGATTATTTAGGACGATTGCTCCAAGTCAGGAGCGGTCTGTCAAGTTCCGAAGTGCGGATATTCAAACAAGTTGAATGCCGCAAGTTACTCTTAGTACAACGAAAAGCGGGCCTGTATTGTACCATGCAATTCAAAAAATAAAATTTGGACCTTGTTGGTTGGGGACAAAGTGCACTGAACCTATTCTCATGTATTTCCTGCGAAGACTCAAATTTCATGCTTATAAACATATATGTTATAGATTTTTTGTCTTAATTTAATTCTCAATTTAATAATTTTGAATTTAGCACTGTTGTAGGCTAAGGTAAATCGAGGGTTTCGCTGTGTTCCAAATATTTTTTGGACCGTTTTTATGAAGTTTTTGTGCTCAGTTTTGGTTTTGCCAAGAAGTAACCTTTTATTCCTCTTTTTTCATATGCCGGATAGAGCAATAATGAAAAAAATTAGGACTACATTTTCGTGCCAGTTGTCTAGACGCCCGTGTGTGCAGCAACCACTTTTATCAAATTCTCCTGTTCAAACGCGTAAAATATGTCATCTGCTGTTGTTTTGTTTTCGCGATTCCAGCCGTGGGGGCAAGCATAATAATATATTCCAGAAGGAAGCTTGCTCAATTGTCAAATGACGGATCTGCAATAGGTGAATATGTAACAATAAAGGCGATGGAAATCATTTTGGATGAACGACTGCAATATGGTATGACATAATGTTGGGCTGTACAATGGCCAGTTTAGACTATAGTTTCTGGTAAATTTTTCTTCAAAGCAGGTGAATTCCCCGAAAATTTTCCTCATAGTTTTCATGTCAATAAACCCCAGATGGTTTCCCAGAAAGCTAACTGCGTATTAAGAGTGTTTGACTTATTTCACCGCGAAACTTGCTCCTCTCCATTACTCCGAAAGACGACATTAACTTTACATTTATCCTTAGTTTATAATAACAAATTTCAATAATACCAATTCCTTTCAGAATCTGACCAATCATGAACTAAATTGAACGAGGCGTCCTACATGCGGTATCCGGTGTAACCTTTTTAAGTCATTCCAGTGTTAAGATATTTATGTTTTTAAATGTATTACTGGTAAGTCTGGCATCTACTAAGGAGGATTTTGTGTTCATAAAATTAAATACTGGACTGTCAGTGATGAGAGCAAGAGTAATAAACCAAGGATGTGTTTTGACGTGTAAATGTTTAGTAACCATATCAATGACCACTAATGTGCCATTGGTCTTGCGAATAGACCGAAAACTGTAAGTTATAAGATTCTGTTTGTCATATACAAACATCATGTCACATATAGAATCCATTGTCTGAACTGTAAGTAAAATATGTACAGTAGGCTTTATTTACTTAAACCAATCCAAAAGAATAAGGGAGAAATAGTTTCCCGAAAACGTGCACGATGAGACCTTATTTTCATGAATAAAGCACTGTTTTGTTGAGCATTGTTGTTTCTTTCGAGATTTACTTTAATCACGGCAGTTACGCCTTTTTACGGTAAGTAAACAATTAAACCATTTCCGCCTAGTATAATATCCACTTTGAAACCGCATCAGTATTTACAATAACACGTGCTGCTTTTGGGTAAAAAATAAAAGCTAAAAAAGTAGCTTTCATTGAAGCTGTACCGGTCCACCTTTAATGATATTGCGGTTACCGCTCAATAACCTCCGCGATAACTACGCAAGTTGATTTCAAATCAAACAATCTTAAGTGGAATCAGAGTTCAGTAAAATATGAACCCAACAAGGTAGCGGAACTTCATTAGTCCGGCTACACAATTTCAGCATCCAGACTAATCACAACCACGATGTATTCAGCTGCTGCATTGACGGATCTGCGGGAGCTATTGGTGCACTATTGCTACTTTAATTACAACTGGTAATCTCAACTGTTTGTAGTAGATGATCGGAGTGAAAACACCCATTGAACTCGGCAGAATATTTCACTCCTTATGCATGTAAATTTGCGTTAGCTTATTTAGGCTGGCAACAAACAAATCTTTCAAAATCATATCAAGCTGGACATGTGAAACTTGCCATAAGACATGTCGCGTGCTGCCTTCCAAAGGCATATGAACCAGACTGCAGGGGCAAACTCAGACAAATTATTAACTTAGATGACATTGGAATATACCGACTATTTGCTTTCGAGCATTATCAGAACAACAGAACACACAAACCAGTTAAAAAATGAAACTGTATTATTACCCGAAGTTTGCCCGGTTTCGTATGGTGTTGGCGTCAATCTGCACTGCTTTGTAGCCAGGTAGTGTTCCCTGTCCACTCTACCACGAGTGACAAGATTTGTTCCAACCAGTGAAAACGTCTGCGAGTCACTAATTATCGTCACAAGCGGACCACGATCACTTGCTGTCTCCTCCCTGGTATCGTCTCGCGTGTACATGTCTACACCAAAATCTTTCAATAGCGGACCCATGTCACATACAACTGTTCCAATCGCACATTCTTCCGTTACAACACAGACGGTGTGTAATCCAGCGCTCCGAGCGGCCAGTCTGCGTAGCTCGATGCAGGCTATTAGTGTGATTGTGTTGATAGCGAATCCAGCTTGTAGACGGTGCATGTTTCAGGACTTTACTACTACAGTTTCACACACATTGCTGAAGCCATTCGGTTATCATCCTGGAATCGTGCTTGATTCAGTGTTAATGGACGCATTTCTGATGGTGCTCAGGAGAAGTAAATATCACAGTAGACTCTAACCGCGTTTTGATTTGCTTGTCACCGGGATAAAGCGTGGGGGGAATTTTTGCCTCTTCCAATTGGTCCGAACCCTGGGGACAATTTTTGGTCCATTCACAGGATGATATTATATTAATAGTTAAGAGAGATAACACAAACTGTTTAGCACTCATTATTTGTTTCTGGAATTCACCAATATATATGGAAAGCTGGAGAAGTAGTCGAATTATGTAATGGCCTCTCCTTTTTAGTATATTACAGAAATGCGCACAACCGCGAAATTCAATTGAATTTTATGAAAACTATTTTTAGTTGTCATATCTTTGGTAATTACTAGTACTTCTACACTAATAATGCCACTGTGGTTGATCCTAATACACGTCAGAGATCAAAAGATATACTCCAGCCACTGCTCTTTTTTATTGCCTCTGAATCTAGAAGAAACATTTCTGTAAGGCGTCGTTGCTTGCAAATTACCTAATGTCACAGATCTTGAAGAACCAATAGTTGGTCTGTTTGAGTTGCTTTATATTGTGTAATCTTTAGGTTTTCTCCGTCGTATACACAATCTGGACGGTTCTCGTGATCTTTGTTCCCACGTTTTCTTCGTCTTTACGTGGGGCTTACTTCCAATGCCAAACACCTTTTCATTATTTCATTAATTTTAAAATTATGTTTTACGCATCAAAGCGTAGGAAAGTTAAGAATATTTGCAAATCGTTTGGCAGATTTTTGTGTGTGGTCCATGAATAATCCCGAATAGCTAAAAATTTAACATACTCCAAGGTACCCGGCAAATATAAACCAGTATGCTTAATTTATGAATAGTGTTGTGGATTTGACATTTGTCGGTTTACTTCATAGTCGTTGAGCCACTTTTCGACCTGGATTGTGGGTGTATGCAGTACTGCGTAGTGTTTCATAGCCTGACATTTTTGAAAAGTAAGCACATGCTAATAGGCAGTGTTGATCCACTCCAACTGTACACCAAGATACCAGTTTTTATCACAGCCCTATGTCTTAGGGACCAAATGAGCTTCAAAGGACAAAAAATTTAATACCGATTGAAATACAAAAAACTGACTTTCTTCAGTTTGTTGATGTTCTTTGGCTAAACTAATCACCCTTGCATTCATGGTGAATGATGAAAAGAGCTTTCTTCGGCAAGTACTTTGTTAAGCTTAAACCCGGAAGTCACAAAGCTTTCAACTTGGCATTCCCGGAAGTTATCATGGCTAATTTGGTCCGTCAGGTATCCATCTGTTCACAAAAGAGCTATGTTTCATTGTGACCTTTGGTGAAGTGCTTGCTTATATTTTTGGCTTGACTGCTACTGGATCGCATAGACGCATCAACTAAACACTTCCAAACTTTATTTAACTTGATGCAGTGTTTTTGGTGGAATGTGTACCATATCAACTACTTACTTGCATAAATAATACTGCCCTGCTTACTTAGCACTGTAAGTGTTTTAATAAAAAAATTGGGTTTGGTAATGCTTCAAACGCCGTACTAACGCTAGTTCCCAGGAACCTAGGGATGAAAACTACCCTTCCAATCCATCTTGTAGTTTTCGGCATTAAACATAACACCGAATTTCAGTCGGATAGACTGCTGGGTTTATCGTATTTTTTTCAATTATAGAATTAACACTCCGCATTCCATCACAGTGACAACAATGGAACGCTTTCAGCAAAAAAAGATAAGCACTAACGAGTATTCCCACTTCAACCACGGCTCTTTATTGGTCTACTCAGTGTCGTTTGAATATTGCTGAAAATGTTCTAGAGTTGATTTGGACCAGGAATACCGCATACTTTAGTCAGCAGGAGTCTACCGCAGTTTGGTGCAACAATCAATGACCAGTAAAGGTACAATCTTAGTATTACGTTGCATCTATATAGGACAAGCCGCAATGTCCTCGGTGAACATGGCTAGTTGTAAACAAGCTTGGCCGTGTCAGTGAACAATGAAGTTGCAGTAACAACACATGTTCAAAGGACGTTTGGAGCATAAATGTCCCAAAATTCATTTAAGATTGGCGCCCCTTTGTAAAAGGGTTTTACAACAATAAATGTCGGTAGGTAGTCGGGATGTAATCGCACGTTATTTTGAGTCTTCCTGAATGTGCCGTTTTCATGCGACACTGTCTTTCATTTGATCGGGACGTAAACTAAAGTACACATTTTTCCAACTCTAAAATGTGCAGGATAACGGGCTATCAAGACTCAAACGACCTAGTTGCTTGTTAAGGCAATTTTTGGTGACGAATCGGGTACACTCCCTGCTGGTGGAAGCTGATCAGCCTGTACTAGTTTGCTTATAGTCTCATGTATTTGGCCACTCCCCCTTCCAGGAAAACACATGCTAGGCCAGCGGTTGCTCTTAACTGACTGGTACAAATTACGTTTGTATATGAATAGCAGAGATACTGGCAGAAAAGTGAGGACAGAAAATCCACCTGCTCTCACTCAACTACCTGTGTCTATGGCGCGTGTGCACTGTTGTCATGCTACCGGAGTGTTTGATCTGGTAGCCCATTCTTCTTGTCCTGAGTGTGTGGCTAGCTTGACAGGAGAGTCTTAGCTTGTCTCGTTTCCCCTTCAAAGACAGAATGTTCCGAGCAGGAAAAGGTGACTCAGTCGTCTCCAGGAGACGTATGTGTACTTAACTGGATGCATAGAGAGAGCTTCAATGCATTGTTCCTTAAAGAGCAATGTTCTTCTCCGGCCTATGGCCTGTGTTTTCCAGTTGGGATTGATGGCGCTTTTACGTAAACCTGTGTTTTCATCAGGCAGTCGTTTTCGACAAAGCTCGCGGGCGCAAATTGTAAGCTGAGGGGTCATATGATCGACGTGGGACCAGTCATCTTTACATCTGAAGAAGTAAAAATCCATGGATGAGAATAACTTCGGCTGTTTACCTTCGTTACTGGCCAGAAACATTATACAGCTTTTTAAAAAATACATTGTTAATATTATTGAACTTTCAAGTTTTTTATTATTTCGAGCTTCATCCCTAACCAGCGGGCCGAGAAATAAGCTTTTGTATCCTAGGCCCATTATTAGATGGCTACTTCCATTTGTTTGAGGTCTCTCTCAACAAATTCCATGTCCGAAAGTATGTTGCCCAAACGGTATACCTTCCGCTTGTCATTTGAGCATCCCCCTATAATTGTTGACGACAAAAAACTAACTTAGTTTCGTTTCTTCGCTAAGAGAACGAAACAGTAGAGGATGGTGTACGGCAGACTCCAAGTATGTTGTTGTATACTATGCCATCCGCACACTTGGTATGTAACCTTAGAGGGATCTGAGAGGACCCACGAAGAAAAAGACTGTAAACCATTAACTTTATCTTTCACGCTCCAAATCCTGAAAACTACGTTTATATATTTTTCCAAGAATGAATTCCGTAATGAAGTTGAATGAGCGGGCGGGATAAAGACTTATTCTACCATAATACCCTGTCCAGGTTTTTATTTTCACTATTGATTGTATTAAATACGGTGACGTCATTTTAACTCTGTGGATGGGTTTTGAGATGGCTAAAGAATGTCAACCAATAAACTGAAAGGAAACAAACTCTGTAACAAGTATGGGTTGGTGATGATGATGGATTTCCACTCATGAGGAAGACGACACGAAAGTCAGAAACAGTCCTCGGAGGAAAGGCAACATGTGACCATTGGGACCTGATTTTGGCTTGCTGTATTTTGCTCTGGCGACGAAATGTTCCTGCGTATTTCGGAGGGCTTTCTTTTTGTGTGTGTATGTAGGCCTAATGTGCATACATCGGACTGCTTATTAATAAACAGCCTGATGCCTTTAGTGGGCACGTGCGCCACTTGTAGTGAAAAAGTCGTGCGTGACATATCAGTCGCTTGCAAGTGTCAGTTTTCATCGAACAGTGTGCATCTATCTCTGAGCTCTCATCGGACGTATGTAGTGGACAACTTCGAATGGTGGGGCTACAAGTTTATATGAGGAAGTCGGCAAGTACGACTCCAGCATCGCTGTGACTTTCATGGGTTGACTAAATGTAGTCCGTAGTCACGATTCTGTGACTCATTTGCCCTGCTCGGATAGATAAAAGCAGTGAGTCATATACTCCAACGTTGTACAGTTGTTTCCATATTTCAAATAGCCTCGCAGGGATATAGAAACATCACATGAATCCCTGCGATATGCGACTTATTCTTTAATCCTCAAACGCCCACTAGGTCGAGGAGTACTTTTTTATTGTTATTTTTATACCAGAAACCTCCTCAGTAAGTGCCGTTATACTTCACATTCACCGCGTTTCAACAGCAATTGTAAAATTGTAAATTGTAAGTTTTGAAAAATTATCACTGTCGTTATGGCGAGGGAAATTGCCTTCAGTGCCGTGAGACAAACAGGCTTTGTGTGCCCATTCCAAAACAAAGTTGATCTGCCACAAAAGGCCGCTAGTTTGAGCGTCTATGCCCAAGATTCTAGAGATTAGGACAAAAACTTTCAGAATTGGTAACCGTGGACAAGCACTTCCAGTGAATATGGCACACAGCCTTTTAAGACCTGAGCAAGAAAATCAGATGAGACTCAATCCGTCACACAAACAAAGCAAGAAAGCTGACAATCCCAATGAGACCTACAAATTACGCAGACGGAAAAGGGAAAATTGACGCATGCTTGAGATAATATCGGTGATTTTGTAAGGATTTAGTCTGCCATATCAAAGGTAATACTGAATGTGACGCAAAATTAACCTTCCAAATACAGTCATGGGATTGAATTCTCTCCATAACCGTTTTCAGCTAAAATGGTTTCTCAGATAACTCTCCTTTCGCCGCAAGATTACTTGGACTTTTTGATTAAAAGTAAGAACCAAAACATTTGAGTA